TTCGTACGCTTAAGTCTATGATGTACACCATTATTGCATCAACGCTTGTCGGCTTTCTTGTCTGGACTACTTAATTTTAAATGATTGAACATCTTGTGTTCTTTCGTTAAGTCCTTTATGCAGACCCTTATAGTTTACTCGAAAAGCGCGTTGACTTCTGCAAAATACTGGCGGAATATTTAAGTGCTTTTCTCTAAAAAAAAACTCCACTGATGTCTTCATCAAATTTGATTAATGCTGGTTATGGTCACAGATCCATTAGATGGGCTAGCTCATGAAATGCCAAGAGTTAACAGAAGAAAATCCCTATAACTCTAAATTCGCCCAACTTACGACAGTAAAAAAAGATTGTTCATAAAAAGAAGACATAGTTGGGTTATAAATTAATACTTCTAACGTAAAAACAATTATTTTTCACTGAAAAACTAAAACTTAAGAAAATAGCCATATTAAAAGTCGCTTAAAAAGGGCTAACTTTAAGAGTGTAAAATGAAAGGGGACGCATGAAATGGTTAAAATAATGTGAAATAATAACAAATTCAAGCGGTCAGTACTTTGGTGACTGTCAATTTGCATCAATCACGGCTGTAAGTCTTTCAGGCATGGAGATGGTCAGGTTGTCCACAGTGGCTTGCTAAAGGTGATTGTCCAGTACGAAACTAAGTTTTTTATGCATGAACAGTCTGCTATTCGCCTTACGCCAATGTGTTTTGATAAATGCGAAGAGATTTTCGATGGGATTGAGATCTGGACTGTTGGCAGGGGTGAAAATTGACTGGAGTCCACATGCAGACAGGCTGGCCGTTGTCTAAAACGGCAGATTACGCTTACATGCGTTATTAGACCCATATTTCTTTAAAACGATGGACAGTTGCACTATCGTGTAACATTTTGGTATCCAGTCGGCGTCGGTGGATGTCGTTGTAATCGAAAACATCCCTCACAATGTTGACGAACACCTTGCTTTTGATGGTGTCCGTAGTCGACCGCCAAACTGACCGCGCTCTGAATTTAATCGCCACCCAAACCATTGACCGTCGACAATTCTTTAATGTTGCCGTCGGCACAGTGTGCTTTTTTGGAAAGTACTTCCCGCAAATGAACATCTGGGTCGACTTCATTGGCTTGTCTAAAAATAAGAACTCATCACAGAAGTAAATGCTCTTCCAGAATGAGGCCGGTAATCAATATATTTCTTGGCAAATAAAACATGTTCGCTAATAAGTTTTCTACTAAAAAACGGCTTGACCATGATTTTTTGTTGGTGAAGGTCAAATTCCTGCATCCTTTTCCTAATGAGGGCCCGAGGGAACATTGGCAGATTTTCCCTGTGAATGGTCTTAATGGGCATATAATGATACTTTTTTAGTGCACGACGAATAAAATTGTCGTCTTGCTTATTTGAGGACCGTTTTGGTCCACCCTGTTTATTTCTAGGTACGGTTCTATTATTATGTATTCGCCAAAAAGTAGCCTCACTAATATTAAAAATGCTTGTCAATGACTTACGCGAAAACCCTTCCGCGGCTAATTTCCGTATCCTTTCATAATCGGCTGTTGAGGCATTGTCGGGACATTTTTATCGCACGGCGTGATACAGAAAAATGGCAGCATGTCGCGAGTACTCAGTACATATCTGTTTACTCATATTGGTTCTTATTGTGGTAAAACAAACTACTATAGAACAAAACTTTTACCAGGTTTTATGGCACGAAACGCCAAAATTCACAAAAAAGAATTTTATAAGTCGATTTAGGCCTTTTTTTCTTGAAAACAATGAAAGCTCTCAAGCTCGCCCTCACCTGATTTTCTTTGGAGCAAAATCTAATTTATCGTTCCCAGACGGGATTTATCTCGTACTTTACCAGTTTATATTAATTTTCGTTTACAGCACAATGCACGTAAACATAAATTTTTGATCAAAAAATGTTCCTAACATAGGCAATAATCTGATATCAGGAAAGGCCAGATTCAGCCCAAATGTGGCCCCTTCTCCTTCAACAAAACGGACCTTAAATGAACCTTTCTTCAGTAAATGGCTTTCTGTGTCCTAAATAACATTAATAAACACAAAAAGAACACCGAATGCATGTAAGACTTCTCGCTAAAATTTGGACCATGAAATTTCATTAGTTATGCCACCAACTGTACATTCGCCGATCATTAATTACCATGCAGCATACTCCCATAATAATAAGGCTACTTCGGGATGCCGGCATTTGGATGAGCTTTTTCCGGCCGCCTGCATAAACTGCACTCTCCAAAAATGATTACTCAATAAGCATGGATTTTCCTATCAGATTTTCGATGTCCTTAAAAATTCAAATATACTTCATAGAAAACACGAAGAGAATATTCATTCCTTAACTTATTTGGTAGAAAATTGGGTTTTCTACGATTTTTATACTTGAACGGAGGATATAATTCGGTTTTCAAAAATTCTTCCACTTCCCGACTAATTTCGAACCCGACCTGCCGTTACACTTGTAATCAGGGTCTCCAAAGTACAAGTCATGTATTTTCCGCGTACGAAGAACCATATATTTCTCTACGGTATTAAGAGGAGACCGTATAAGTTTCATAACATTTAGCAGTGGATTTGAGTTATATTGTAAACTTCACGTGAAACTTACGTAAATGTAGAGGCACGATGTTTTATGCCTAGGAATTCCGCGACCTCAAAAAATTTCATAATTAAAAACTCTTAATCTGAATTATACCTTTCCCTCAAGTACAACAATTGAAGAAAGCCCTATTTTCTACCAAATGAGTTGAGGAATGAATATTCTCGTTCATGTTTTCTATAAAGTATATTTCAATTTATAAGGGCATCGAAAATCTAAGAGGAAAATTCATGCTCATTGAGTAGTCGTTTTTGCAGAGTGTAGTTTTTGCAGGTGGTCGGAAAAAAGCTCATCCAAATGCCGGCATCCTTAAGTAGCCTTATGGGGTTTTGTTGTATGCTTATTAGTATTACAACCCTACTTAAGTAATCTCTTCTAGTACAGAAGCAACCTCAAATCTGGCTTAACATTTTATGAGTTAGCAAATCTCCCGTATATAAGGTTCACTTCGGATGCATAATTCCAAAACGTAAACCACGTTTGCTAGTAAAGATGCGGATTATTTACTAACTTGGATGTATAGCACTAATGATTTTGTTCGTTTCTCGTATGATGACTTGAAGAGAGGAGTTATTTCGACCTTACACGCACATTTTGAACGATCTAACGTCCTCGCATTTTGTCGCAGTCTGCCTTATCCTTCAGCACATCTTATCTAAATTCGGTCCCTCTATGATTTGATATTTGTAGTAGGAGTTTTGCAGTTGTTCACTGATTGTTCTAATCTGTATGGACCAAGCACAGTAAGAGCAGCACTAACAAACCTAATGCGGTTTTTTTGGACGTTTCCAAAATTCCTTTCACTTCTGGCTTCTGAAACTAATAGTACACACTAACTGTAGTGAGTCTTGTGTTTCCACAAATTGGTTAAAAAAACTGATTTCTTTCCTAGCCATAACAAAGAATATGACCAAATTTACAGAAATGTCTAAAATATTTATAAAAAACGAACTACCTAAGCGTGTGTTATAATGTCCTTGCAAAACGCTAGGACAAAGTCGAGCATGCCAAATCCTGCAAGACACCCAAAGTCATATCTTATACTGATCAGTTATCCGACCTTCCAGAACTGTATTTTATAAATGAATAGCTGACAAAACAATTCAGCGAATTATTTATGAGTTACAATGTATACTGCTTCTCGCATTGACTCGTTGTGTGCATAGAGTTAGTATTGCCAATAAATCTGCATACCCAGCATTACGGTTAGTAATCTTACAGCGCACTGCTCAAAGCAAATCTCTGTTAGCACTTTATGCTAAAAAATATTATCAAAATGAGATATATTTACAATACCACACGCATTTAGATCATGCTTCAATCGGACTATCTTGTCGAGTGTATTTTTCATTTATTTAATTATCGATTTTTAGGCAAAGTAATAGCACTGATATTCAAAGTCGAATTATTGAGTTACGGGGTCGCGTTCAGACCAATGACCTTAAAACTCCGTCACGTGAGTATACATTTTCCCGAAACCATATGGAAAACTTGATGCATATTATGACAAAATTTAAAGCGAATATTCAGAGTCCTCATTTGACTTGCAACCGGGTAAGGTTTATTTTGAGAGCCAATGTTTATGAGGGTAAATATTGCTTAAAAAAGTAAACTGGCAAATGACAAATGAAGGAGTGATGTCCATGTGTTTGTCTTCAAGACGACTTGGAAATACGCATTCCTTCCGTTTTGAATTTGATTTATCAGGTTATGTTGAGATGTTAATAAAAAATTGGATCTTTAGAATTTCGGTCTGCCATTCATTGCACAACCGACGTTCTTCAGAGATTGAAATTTGGAACACCTAATTCCGTTGCCCTGTTATTTGTTAATACTCATTCACAAAACTAGGACTTAATTAATCTTTCCGAACGGCCTGTCTTGTGGATCTGATTTAAAAGATAGACGAAGCCTCCAGAGCTGATATGGCTGCTTTTCTGAATCACCGAAAAATAGCCCAATACTCATCGTTCCAATTAAGTTGGAGTTTTGCCCAAAAACGAGGTACCAAAAGTGCGTGTCGGTGGACTTGGCAAAGTGCACAGACTGCTTCGTTTGAAAGAATTAAGAAAAGCCTCTTAGGTTTTTAGACAAAAAGATAAGGTGAGAATATCACAAACCAGAATCTCAAATAACCACTGCCTTTCTCACGAATGGAAGAGAATATACGCATCCCAGGTTCTTGTTTAAAAGAAGGCGAAGGCACGATCACTGGGACAGTAAGTTTATTTGCCTGAACTTTCGAACTCGAACTAGAGTTCATCATCAGAGGTTACTCGAGTGCAGCAAATTGTGAACATTTATATCGTTCATCCTTGCGAGCGGGGAGGGGGAGTACGTCCGTGGCTAGGTAGGGTTTGTGCCGCCTGGTCCACGATGTTCCCCCGGCGTGGTGACGCCATTTGCACTTCGCGACGGTGTGAGCTGCGCCACCTGGCTGCGTGGGCGGAGCGCGTGATAACACGCAGGCAAATCGATGTGTCTGTTGATGGAGTTGGTGTCCGACACCCACGCCTCCAACAGCTCTCGCCCTGTCTTGTTGCCGGCTCGCGCCAATATCCGCGTGTTGGCGAAGTCGAACTCATGCCCTTCCTCGAGCGTGTGAGTGGCTACTTGAGACAATGGGTCGCCTCTCCGAACGGCCCGTTTGTGCTCAAGTATTCGTGAGCTCAGACGTCGTCCTGTCTGGCCCGTGTAGTGGCAAGGACAGTATTGGCACGGGATTCGATAGACAACGCCCGACTGCTCACCTGCGTCCAACCGATCCTTCATTTTCATGATCCTGCTACGCATGGTGGCCGCCGGATGATGAGCGATGCCCACGCCTAGCTCTGACGCGATGCGTTCTGTAGCCTCGGACACATTCCTTATGTACGGTAGGGAGTGCCAAATTGTTGGTGTCTCTCTTCCGTTTGTCCGGCGTGGGTGTGCGCGTATGCAGCGACTGATAAAGCTAGTTGAGTAGCCATTCTTTGTTAATTGGTCCCGGAGATGCCGTAGTTCTTGCATCCTTCCTTCGGGCTCGCTACAGTGCGTTTTTACCCGGTCGAAAAGCGCCCTCACACAGCCCCGTTTGTGCACCAATGGGTGGTTGCTATGATAGTTGAGGACCTGGGTTGTATTGGTCGCCTTTCTGTACACTGTAGTGCTGAGTTCACCGTCAGGTGTGCGCGTGACGAGCACGTCCAGGAAGGGTAGTTTCTAGTCCTCCTCGTCTTCTCTTGTAAGCTGAATGTCGGGAAATATGCTGTTAAGTAGGTCTTGGAAACCCGATAGCTTGTCCTTTTCAATAATGACGAATGTATCGTCCACGTATCGGCGCCAAAACGCAGGTTTGTAATGGCTGAAAGCAACCTTTTCTAGCTCTTGTAGGACCAATTCCGCAGCTAGGCTGGATATTGGGGAATCCATGGGTGTTCCTTTGATTTGTTCGTATGTTCTGCCATCGAAGGTGAAAAAGGTTCGTTGGCAGAATGCAAAGAGCTGCATTAGGTGCTGGATCTTTAGCGGCACTGTCGTTTCGTTGTACTTTTCTTCGAGGCGTTTGCGTAGCACGTCGCGCGCCAAGTCTGGTGGGATGGGCGTGAAAAGTGAGACAACGTCGAAGGATACCATGATTTGGTCGGGTTGAATAGTTTTTCCCCGAATGCCGGCAAGGAATTGGGAGGCCGAATTGACGGACGTCACAGAGCCCTCTTGGAGAAAATTGAGCTTTCGGAACATCCATTTGGCTAAATTGTATGTGGGGCTGCCTTTCAGGGCCACGATTGGCCGCTCAGGCAAATAAACTTACTGTCCCAGTGATCGTGCCTTCACTGCCTTTCTGTTTGTACAATCCGCACAAACTTTCATCGATATTATTTTTTGTACTTCATTTTGCACATAAATATTTGACTTCACTAACAAAACTTGTAGGTCAAAAATCATCCCAGCACACAACCTTTACAGGGACTATCCAGACGCCTAGACATGCTTTCTCCTTATGTCCTGTGTCTGCGTAAGGCAAAACTGGTTTGCTGAAATATTTGTTAAAACACCCTGAATTTATCCTCTCCATGGAAAATCCGATGCTGTTTGTTTGTTTTTGCAGCCGTAAAGTAACGGAATAAGATACTATTGCAACGCGCGGGGTTCACCATGGACCAAGTTAAATAAAGGACATGAATGAACGTTTAGGACTGTGCTGGCTAACTGTATGGCCTGCGCTTTTACTGTATGCTTTGGTTGTGTACGCTTCGTCATTTGTGCCTCCCTTTTGTTCCGGCCTCTTAGCGATTAGAACTGGATGTCAAAATTCACGGTGTGGATAAATTTTCAGAGAATTATATACAAGAAAACTTGATTAGGGGCTTCAACGGCTAGGTTGGCATTGTTTCGACTGACCAAAGTTCTAGCCGTCTTCACATACGCCTTATTTCATTGTTATGGCAGTTTCAGGTACGTGAGATTCGAGCTGCCAGCCACCTTTGCGCAAAAATTTGGTGTGTTATGTGGAGGATCAGGTCTTATGGTATGAGCAGAAGGGTAATTGAGATCTGTCAGCCAGCTCTGCCTAACCCTAGCATCAGATGTCTGACAGGCTCGGAGAGTTGGCCGGTGAATGGAAGGGGGAAGAGGGAGTGAGGTCGACCCTGGAAACTTTATCCCCGTGGCACATTAGGTCATTTTTCTCCTTAATAATAATAATGATCCTAATGCCCTTTTAACCTGCTATAACGCACAGAGAGTCGTGGCTTGGAAGACTGCCAGTTTACGGTTTAACTCGATCCTTGCGGTCAGTACTGTTTGTGGAGTCGATGACTGACGAACTGAGAGTCAGATTGCAATGGTTCTCTATTGATGTGCCCTATATCGCACGCTAACTCAGGTGCGATCAGAGCCGCCCCCTTGGTTGTGTGAAAACGTGGCCCATAGTGCGAGGACGGGGTCGTGTGTGGCACATGGAGACAGGCTGTTATGCCGTGTCAGCCACTGCGCCTGATCCAACCTCCGGGCGTCCTGAATTTATCTTGCCATAATAAACTGATGGACGAGGGAGGAGGGGCGCGGTAGACGCTTCGCAAGTCTGTTAATGCTATAGACTTGTCCAGGCGCAGGTCGTCGTTCTACGCCCATCACGCTCAGAGGCACATGGTGAATATAGTGGTCTTTGACGGTCGACCTGACATCCGTCCTCGGTTGGGGCTACATATGCTCTCAGACACGCGGTTAAAAATGATACGCATAGGCCAGCCACTTATAACTAGGTTGCTCAGATAAGTTCTTATGAAACGCAGAAATATAAAATGATCAGGGATGTTAGCTGTTTTACTGTACTACGGAATATTTGCTTGGGCGTTTTGACGGTGAAATAGCTTTCTACTTGCAAGCCAATGCTATCGGTTTCTTTAAACTGTTCTATCAACTTTGCTTTTCCTATGAAACCTCCAAAACTGTCTTTTATTGTTCCACTTGAGCACATTTTATTTTCACATCCAAAGTGGCGGAAAGTTAGGTTACAGTTTTGTGGATTTGTGCGAAGCGCCTGGAGTGAAATTACGGGCATTGCAAACTTGTCTTCCGACGCACGCCCAAAAGCGACACAAGAAAGTAAATTCATTGCTTCATCATGTTTATTCAAACATTAGGTTTATATATCCAACGTATTTACAGTTGTGATTTCTAATAGGCCGTGTATTTGAAACCTCTTACATAGTCCTGTACATTAAGGTTTGTCCAAGATTTTCCGACATTTTAAGTTGGAGACCTAACTTTGGATTATTTACCGGCAGAACACCCAATTACCTGTTCGTAGCTGCGGGTTCAGTCTCCCTGTGTAGAATTCCACTGAAAGAAAACTCCGAACTTTGACGCAAACCTGACTAAACGCATAAAACAATTTAGCTTTCAAGTTCCCATTAGACGCATGGTGAAGCACTTTATATTTCATCCAATGAACAATGATTCGGCCTTCCACTGTGATTGTCTGATGTTCTTGCATACGCGCTCAAATCCATCTGGTTGTTTAGGACAGAATGATTTTCCCTCCCAGTCTATGCGGTAAGACAAAAATTAATCCTGTCTGTTTGGTTGGCGAATCCTGGTAGCGTTAGAGGTGTCTTCATAGCTAGTACAGGTCGATTTTATTAACTGTTTGTAGCCATAAAATATAAAATTATCCAAGCTAAGATGATTGAGAGATAAAACTGCTCCACGTCCACGATTTCACTTTCTCGCCAAAAATTACTTCCAACAGTTTTGTGTCCAACCAAAAGGGAATCGTAAACGTTTATTGGATCAGTAAATTCGAATACCCTTTTTCGTAAGTTATATATCGAGACGACAGTATCACTATTATTTACTAAGCGCTTTCCACTTAAGTGGGTTAGAGGTGTTCAGTTAGCAGGTACACCGTGTATAGATGGAAGGTCATACCATGTGCCTCATGCAGGTGCTGGCTGCTCCGCACGATCCCTAGCTGACGTCGGACTTTCATCCGTGACTCTCCAAGGCTAAATTTTGTCTAACGGCCACACCCTGGTAACCGCCTCGATCGAGGGGCCAAAAGAGATGAGGGTAATTCTGCACCCCTTCTCATTCGTCATCCTCCTTTACACTTTAAAAAAGTTTTACGGGAAGGCGATATGCGATTCCGTAGACGACCCAGGCTAGCCCCGGTCGCTCACCCGCCAAACCAACTCCCGACCCATAGTGTAGTTCGGTAACTGTCTAAGCTGTCTCCGTCGTCCTGTTTAGGGATAGCACTGCCTGAAATTTCTCAAGAATCTAGAAGTGAATCCGGAGGTCTCGAATGATCTCGCCCAAGATCTACCGGCTTGAAAAGAGCAATCTAAACTTTAAAAGCAATCTACGGAACCAACCTGATCGCCGCCGCTAAAAGCAAAAAAGTAACACACAGAGCTCCAGCGCCTTCGACCCACAACGACAAAATCGGAACTCTTCCATCGTATTCCCGCTGTCAATTGAAACTCTGTGCACGCATCAACCTCGCAGGGTGTCTTCAGACTGCATGCAATAACGACACGACAAATTCAACTACCGCCTCCGCAAAGGCCTCCATTCTCACACTTGCCGCAAACCCTAAGATGCCCACGACGATGAGGAAGACTAATAGGAATACGATTACTACCACCATCACCGCCAACTGAGCCACCACTGGCCCACAAGCCCAATGCAACGCCGCCGCCATCCCACCATCACTTCCCCAACTTCTGCAACAATGACTTTCATCACTCCCATCGCCACCACTGGTAAGAGCCCTCTTGGCGTTCCATCAACCATCATCCTCACCACCACCGCACCGACAATTAGCAAGGTGGTCTCGATTACAGCTTGTACCCATTGTAAGTGTATCTTCACACCGCAGGGCCACCTCGTCAGCCACTTACAAACCTACTGCACTAAGACCAGCGAACCAGTACCTGGAACCCCGACATACACCTGTCACACTCACTTCAGCTGTTCGCACTGCCCATAAACATTCAGTCAGTGTACGGGGCCTATTCCGTTACGTGGACCATTTATGAAAATCTACGATAAAATACCGCCTACCAGATCCCATCACCACACATCTCTCCATCAGCCCGCACAATGCATGCAAACCCATGCCAGATCACTCACCACAGGCCCGGAATAGGCACCTCTCACGTACGTAGGAATCTTGTTCTTCGACTCCTTATCCATGTGGCCTCCAGCGCATATGGGATCCGCAATGTCTTCTCATTTTTGAGAAAACTTGGTGTGCTGTGGGGGGTCTAAGTCGTGCGCAGTACGCGAAGATGGACTGTCTAGCTCTGTCAGCTACTGTTTCCAGTCAGCGCACAGGATGACTGACCGGCTCGGACAGTTGATTAGTACCTAGGAGATGGAAGCTAGTGGGGTTGACTCTGATGGCCTCAGATTCAGGGCTCGCAGCGCATATTTCTCACCAAAAACCATTTGATGCGCTTTTAAAATGTCACGGTGCACTAAAATCCGTAGTTTAGAAGGTTGCTAACTGACGGGATAATTTGGTCCTCTCGGGAACTAGAGTCAGGCTGTAGTGGCTCCTTCTTTATTTGGCTGCTATGGTACTACAACTCAGTTTGGATCCGAGCAGACCTTTTCTAGTCTCACTGAAACCCCGCTCCATCTTGTGCGGACGAGGCATATGTAGCGCACGCAGACGGAATTTGCCTGATCTGGTCTTCTTGACTCTGTCCTAACATCGGCCCAGATGGATTATGAAGAGAGACCGCGATCTCAGTTTACACTAATTCGCGCGTGAGTCACCATTCCTGCACCCGCCATGCTAGGGCGCACATGGTGGATATCGTTGCCCTCAACGATAAAACTGTCATGTATGAGAGTTTTTAATTCGAATATAGTGAAAACTGAGTAGGTGCGGGATTTCGGTAATAATATGGATTTAAGACAGTTTCCTTTCGAACCATTTTGCTACTTCGTTCGATGTAGGTGGCAAGATGAATTGCCGCCGATATAGGGCGGAGCATGGAAAAGTTGACTAAGCGAATCAAAGTTGACTGCGAATCAAGTGTTAATGATGAAGGTCACCTTTCATATTAGCACGACCGATTCGTAGGTTATTCCTAGGACATAGAGGAAAGAGAAGGAAGGGACAGTCATGTAAATAACTGAATTTCGTCATTGACTATCCGCGGCTCCGGAAGCAAACTAGTGTTGGCTAGTCATTCCCGCCAACCAGCATACCCGCACGGCTACAT